CGAATATAGAATAGTTGCAAAGGATTCATTTAACACAAGACATCCTCAATATGCATCATACAAATAGAACAAATGCTGCTTTCTTTTGCTTTAACATCAACATAAAACATCACTATTGAACGAGCAGCATCTCTTGAATTTGTTTTCTATTAATATAAGGTAGAAGAGGGTTTTAGGGAATTTTTATTTTTATACAACCGGTTTAGAGTGTGTTATAAATGCCAAATACTGGGATATGAATCTATGCTGAAGACAACACAATGCGTTCTATGTATAGTACATGCAATACAAATAAAAGAACATTTCAATATATACTGAAGTTTGAATGCATTATGAGGCTTGGTAAATTTTTATATGAAAAACCTTCAATATTTTAATTTAAAAAATATGTGTATTATTTATAGGGTGTTCCAAAAGTAACGCAGGAATTACAACATGTTGTTATGATATAATTGAAAAAATAAATATTCTGAATTGATTATAGAAAATTATACTTAAATAAATCTGTCCAGTTCATATCATATAACAGTTAAGCTTTGAACAAATATTGCAGTCACCTTTTTGTGGCAAAAAGTTACGATTAGTTTCTTTTTTAAGTATAGGTAAGAATAGCATAAATTTAGCTGCAAATCTTCGAAAAAAATAAAACTCTAGAAGTTTGAACTTTTTGTCCAATTGAAGGAGTAAGTGAATAAGCGAGGTATGTAAAATATATTTTCATAGCTTTCATTCAGAAAATCCTAGCTTCCTATCAAGAAATTATTTGGTTTGTTGAAGTAGTTCGATGAATTACCATGAGTTGAAAATGCTGGATAATGCATTAAAAATTTCCAAGCACGACATACTTTCATTTTTCAAATTTGCACTTACTTGCAGTTATTTAGAAATAAGAGAAACAGTTATTCGTATTTGATTTGAAAAAGCAATCATTGATAAATATTTGAATATGAATGAAGAAAAAATTTGAAACTACTTTTTTAGATTTTATACTGTAGTACAAGTATAATTCCTACAATCTAACAGATTTTTCTAGTAACTATTAGACTGCTTTTTATGATTAAAAATACCAAAAAATACCATATTAATTTAGGTCGATATATGTGAAATATTTAGCATTTTAATAACTTAGGATTATGAAATATAGCATAAAGCACCAGTGTCTTTTTTTGCATCAAGGTTAAAATTTTCCAATTGCGGCTCACTTTCTTTTTTCAAATTTACAACTTTCAACTTATTTGCAGTTATTTAGATCTAAGAGAAACAGTTATTCACCTTTAATTCGAAGAATCAATTATTGATAAACTTTTGAATATAAATGAAAAAAAAAATTTCAAATTACTTTTTTGGATTGTATATTTAAGTACAAATATAATTCCGATAATCTAACAGATTTTCAAACAGATTCAACTATTAGACTATTTTTTATGATTAAAAAATACCGAAATACATTTTTGCTTGTAATTAGAGCGTCAAGAAGAAAGTGGTACGAGTTTCCCATCTGCGTCTGACGGAAAAACTTTTGAGCCCGCGAGCCAATCTAAGGGCATGTCAACATGTCAAAAAGTGAATAAAAATTAGTTACGGCAACTTTCAAATTCGCTAAAATAAACTCTTACATTTATTGTTGCTTTCAAAATATTTCCCACATTGCAATCCAAATTATGGCCATCTTAATGATATCTTATTTAAATGGTGAAAGTCATATAAGCAATTATTAGTGTATTTATTTTTAAAAATTTTCATTCAACAAGTTGAACTCAGGGAACATGTTTAACCACTTCATTGGTACTGCTTCAGTAAATCTTTCCCAATCAGTATAGTTACTAGCATCGTCTGTTTCTCATGACTAACTATTAAATGCGCGAAAGTGATTACTACACTATGTATACTTTAAGCAACATATTTGACTTAACTGGTAAAACATCGTATTAATTTAAACCTTGTGTTGATTTTGGAACACTCTAGATATTGTTTGAAATAAAACTTATTCTCAAATGTAAATGACAGAAAAATTATTGAAAGGTATTAAATGAATGTCGTTTATGTTGAATAAATCATTATCCCATTTAATAGTATTAAATAATTAGTAGTTTCAATTATTGCAAACGTAATCCTATTAACGTTTATAATAATTACCTTTAGTGATAATCATTATTTTGGTAGCTGTAAATCATAATTTCAAATTTATTGAATGATTTAGAATTTGCATATATGTACTCAACATAATGGTTTTATTTCTAGAACTACTGAGATATTGTGAAATTAATTATCAAATTTGATGAAAGTCAAATTTCTGAATAACTTTACTGGATGAAAATTAAGAAAGGTTTCTTAAACTGAAAATAATAAATTGATTAAGCCTTGTTAGATCTATTTATAATAGTAATTCTTAATCTTCGTTCTATGTTGTTATTTTGAAGTAATTATTCACGTCTTTCCTTTTAAGACAGTAGAATTTTTTTGAACTAGCATTTGTTAAACACCCTTTTCAACTATTTATTAAAAATTTTATTGTTTAAAGAAATAATTAAATATATACACTACCGAACGTATTGTAGCATTGATGGCATAATTAAAAAGAATTATATCCAATATGAATGAAAATAAACGAAAAAACATATTTGTTTTCGGCTGTCTTGGGATTTGAAAACTCAATATTGCAACTTTTAATAAGTAATGTAGGGTAATTCAAGAGATTTAATTCTGAGAAAATTATCCTATTTAAAAGAAAAGCAAATTTTAATGGTAAAAATTGCATATTATTATTAAAACGAAACAGCGATAGTTATGAAAAATCCTGAATGGTAATATTTGTCTAAAAAATAACAGAATATACTTTTAAGTATTGAAAAACATCCAAATGTAAGCAACAACTAAACATTTTTAAACTTCAGATTTTTCCAGTGAAGAAAAAAAAATGCTTTGACTCTTATAAAATTTCAACCAATTAAAACTAGTTAAATTGCTTTTACGATTGGTTATATTTAATAAAATGGTAAATTTTCTTTTTAAATTGTAAATTTATGCAATATTATTGAATGTATTACTTTTCTTGTTGTACATATGTATTATTATTATCTACCAGGGAAAAAATTCAAATAAAGTAATTAAATATTAATTTACTTTCGTATAAAAGTCATAAGAATTTGTCTTTTTTACAAGCAGAACTTAAAAAAGCTCCCTATATGCTTTTGAGGCAGCATTGTGTGCAATTTTGAGCTAATTGTCGTATTCACGCCGTTGGTCATGAAATTGTAGAACTTTATACCACGTGACTCCTCTGGCACTCAACCGGCTATTGTGGAAATGCTTTATTTTTATATTATTGATACAATAATAATGATTAAAAAACTAGGCCGGGATAGCCTGGTTGGTAGGGTGCTGGACTCGCGTTCATGAGAACGGGAGTTCGAATCCAGCCTGCCGATAGGCTGTAAATGGTGACTGGTACATGCTAAATCTATCGGGTCGCAAAGTCCTCAATGTTCTTATAACAAATTATACTTATGGGATTGAATTGGAGATTGATCGTTCTCTGATTCCTTTCTAAATTATGATCAGTGGATGAATGAATGGATATATGAATGGGCCAGCCGGGTGCGACGTATGGATGTGGCAGAAGTGTAATTCTTGGCCCTAGATGGCGCCACTGGAAAATCAAGAGCAATTGCGCTTCTTGCCATAATGCCAACGACAACAACCGATTAAAAAAACAAGCAGTAGATTACAGTAAAGCATTCTCGCAACATCTTTGCTTTTGCATATTATTGATACAATAATAATAATTTTATAAGAAAAAAAGCTTATATTAAATCATTGCCGCGATAGCTTTATTACTTTTATGTACTATTGACACAATAATAATGAATTAAGTGGAAAACAATGACTTACAGTAAAGCATGTCCGCAACAGTCACTTGTAAGCAAAAGGTGGCATTTAGGCGAAATCTCTATAATTTCGTGACCAACGGCATAAGGAAGGAAATGTTATCAGCTTATCATACAAGAAGTTATTGATAATTAAATTGGCAAAACCAAATAAAATCTTTAATTGTTTAATTAATTACAAATAATTGTAACAGATACAAGAGTGTGAAACTCTCTATAATTTAAACTTTTTGTTTTGCTTTGAACTCAAAATCCGAATTTTATAAATGTTCAGTAGATTCTTGAAATTGAATATTATTTTAATTCTTAAAAAATATATTTTGTAAATATTTTCTCGTTGCAAAATTTTCAAGATGACCTTGCTTTGAAAGTTTCATCCAGTGACATTAAATTTTGCAAAATAAACTATTTTTAAGTTGTTTTTTGAAAATCTTCTAAATAATTAAATTAACATTTTGTTCGTTTCTTAAATATGCTTACAATAATGAAGTTTTGATTTCTTTGCAAAGACAAAGAATTTTATGAACATTTTTCATAGTTATAATCACAATAGAACATAGTAACAATAGAAAATGAATATTTAATGTCCTTTATTTTGAATAAAAAATATTTATTCTGATATTTCGCATAAAAATAAAAGTAATATTTAAATATTTTGATAATGATAAGTGGAATAAGCATGAAAATTTCAATAAGCATAGTAATCATAATTCTGAAATTTGCTAATCTTTTTCTCGAATTTTCCTATATGGTTTAGGCTTATACAATACTTTCGGCCGTTAGTGCATACATACCATAAGAATTGGTTATTTTAAAAATACTATGTAAGTATATTATTTAAAGAGAAATTACTACTTCAAATACATTAATGAGCTTTAATTAATGAGCTTTAATTCATAAATTTTTGCTTGTAGAATTAATTAAAGTAACGTGAGATAAAAGCACTAGGCTTTTTCCTTTCGGTTTCATGAGTAATCACTTTTTTGAACTGGATAAACATTTTTTACCCATAATTTTTCTAGGAGTTTTAATTACATAATGAGGCTGATTAAGCCAATAAAAAATAAAAAGATAATGCACAGTCATATAAAAAAATCAATTGAAATTACTTACGGGTTTCATGAAATTAATAATACTGCTACCATCTAATCCTCGCAAACCACTATCACATGAAATTGGAGGAAATTCTATAGATTTACTTCCATCTAAATCTTGGAGTGCCTTGGCAAAGAGTTGTACAGCATCGTACATCAAGGCAGTTTCGGTCTAAAAAGTGAAACAGCAAAAACATTTTTCTTCATCAAGAACTATTATGTATTCGCCGGTTTAAAAATAAATTTTAAGTCCATAAGAGGGTGTTTTTTTGGACTAATATGCATTTCTTGAATTCTTATAAAAAATAAAACAAATATATGAGTCCCAAATTAATATTTTACCAAGGAAAAAGAAAAACGTTATCGAAATTTGACAAAATATAGTAGAAGAAGGCGAATATAATAATCGTCAGAGGGTTCGTTCAAAAAGTACGTACGCAAAAATGGAGAAATTTTAACCCCCTCCCCCCCTTCGTGCATTACCGTACATAAGGTCTTACTCCCCCCTTAGAGTATTAACATTTTATTAGTCTACCCCCTTTTTCATGAAAATTAAAATAATTATGTTTTAAATAAAATTAAATATTTATTTAAAATAATTTATTCATTTAAATTATTTAAACAATAACACCCAACTTTATCTTTGAATCAATAAATAAAACAATCTTATCTGATCAACATAATAATTTCCTTCAATCAATACAATTAATCTACAGTATTTTCCCCAAGGACATTCCAAATGTTTCTCGAGAGACACCAATTCAGCGTTACTCTTGTCTGCGACTGATGAAAAATTTAGATTATCTTCATCAACGAGACCATCTTCGATCCACTCTGCATCATCTTCGTTTTCCTGATTTCGGAGGAGAACCAAAAGTTCTCTGTGTCGACGAGCTGCTACGCGAACTGGTCTTACTTTGTTGATTTGCAAAGAAGATTTGCATATTTTCTTGTGATCCTTCAAACAAGTTAAAGATGCAAAATATATACCACAAGTAGGATAAATTTTGCGTTTAATATCACCTTCTACAGAGTTTCGGGGAAAGTTTGGTGTTTGCAATTTTTTATTTTGCGAGACAACTTTTTTTGAGAACTGATTTACTCATTATAACAAGTGGTTGCCGTGTGAAAAAATAAATAAAGAAACAAACGTATGTATAATACATGTGTAGGAAAAAAGTCAAATTTAAATTTGGTATATGCTTATAATGTACGCACTTCGTATAATACCTCCCCCCCTCCCCATCGCACAAAACCGTACAAAATAGCAAATAATTTATACTTCGGAAGGAAAATTATTTGCTATTGAACTTCGGGAAGTACGTACTTTTTGAACGGTCTCAAAGCACGTTTAGTGGGAAGTTAATACTTTATTTAACTAATTGTTGAATTAATTCTATAAGATTAAACTTTGTTAAAATTAAGCGAGAACGTTTTCTGTAAGATTAAAAATTAAATTGTAGGATTAAACTAGAAGTTGAACTAATTGTTTTTTTCAACTGCTTTCTGATTCCTTCTACAAAAAAACTCGTCCTGTTGTTTATTACAATCATCCTCCAGTACTGTGATTAGTCAAATTTCAAGAGCATTGTTATCTTTTCTTTGCTGAAATATTCATTTGAGACCTCTAATATATACTCCTAATTTAATATACTTTTTCATTTTTATTTTTGATAAGGATTCTAAAAATATTTATTAAGGGTGGCTTTTGCGGTACTCCCTGTATATAAGATGCTAGGGTGTGCAGAACAATACTTTTTTCACAGTCACTATTGTGAAAAAAGTTGTATTTGGAGAAAAAAGGAAACATTTTACCAAATTTTAAGGAGTTAAAAAAATTTTAAAATAACAAAAAGTAATGCTATTATTTTGAAGAAGAAAACATTTTGATTTCATATACTTTCAGAAATGGAACTATCACTTTTGATATTTGAGAAATACTTAAACTGCATTTCTTTCAAAATAATTTCGACATGAAATTACTTAATTTTTAACGAAACAGATTGCAACTGATGTGTTATATTACTAGGTTCCGGGAGCATTTTTTGCCATTTGCAAATTATCCTATTATACCTATATATACCTATACTTATACCTATATATACCAATTTGGCAGAATGGTGCAGGGGTTAGTGCTCTCACTTCTCAAACATGCCTGGTTTTAACTCCTGTCCTTCTTAATGTTGCATTTTCTAATTAATTGTGTAATCTATATGATCCATTAAGCTTAATGCTACTAACGGAACTAAAATCGTAAGTGAAGATTTAACTTGTCGAAATATTCCAGGAAACAATATCAAAAATGCATATATATATATATATATATATATATATATCAAAAATAGTATTTTCCTATCAATTTTAATTTTTTTAAACTTCCTCTCTTACTTGGTCTAGTGGTTAGNAAATTATCGAAGATGCACTGAGCTAAATAAATAATAAAAATGTATGTTTTATATTTAAAAAGAACTTTATTCTGGGAATTACTTTTTTATTAATTTTGCTCTCCATCGAATATATAGGAGGGACACTTGAAATATAAACGATGAAGAGAGATTTGTGATGCATTGTTTAAAAGTTATTTCCAGATAATTAATAATTAATTACAATTACACGTTATTGGATTGGACTAAATGTAGATTTAAATGGCTCGGATATGCTACACTAAACTTTGAAACGATAGTACGTTCTCCAGGTAAGGAAATTAAATAATGGTATATTTAATTAGTATTTAAAATTTTACGAAATATATCCAAAAATATTTTAAATAGACAATTACGACACTGCTTAAGAATTATTTTTTTTGTTCATTGCAATAGTCTTACGAAAGTATAACTTTTTTTGAAATTTTTTTTTCAATTACACATTTAATTTATAATTTATAAAAAGTCATTGTCCTTTAAATTTTGGATAAATACATATGTCCTCAATTTCTAATAATATTGTAATGCAAAGATAAATTATAAGATTAAAATAGTAAAAAATTTAATAAAAATAAAAATTTTATAATCTTGAAAATATAAGAATTAAAAAATTTAAAATTTAATTGAAAAAATTATTCTTTTAGTAGGGCAAACACTTTTTGTAAGAAAAGATGTCAGTGACAAAACTTCAAAGCGATATTATATGATAAATTGTAACATAATATTTTGACACTAAAAGGAAATGAATTGAACAATTGCATCATATTAGATAATAAAAAATTCATTTGACTTGTCAAAATAGCAATCATAGTCAATTGTCAAGCTAGCGAAATTCCGATTTTGAAATTAATTGGTAAATTTTAGGTTAGGGATTATGTTACATCACAAAAAACATAATATTTTTTGTTGAGATTTTTCAGTAAACGTTTCAGTTAAATATTTATAACAAAATCAATTTATAAATTTATTTAATATAGAAAAGATAAATAATAATATTGTTTTTACTCGAATTGTTTTAATTGGAAAATCAAGTTTTCGGATGGCTCCTGTCCATTTTGTATTAAGTTCTACGACAAGACCTTGAAGGTCCGCATTGTTTTCGTCGACTAATCGAAACCCAGTGATATTTGTCTTGCCATACTTAAAATCTTCCATATCTATGGTATGAAGATCCTGAAAAATAGGAAATTATTACTACATTGAAATTAAAAACATACATTTACACAGAAATTATAATTTTTTACTTACTAAAGAAGTGATGAGGTAATTATGACTTTCTGTCATCATTCCGACTTGTTGAGCCTAAAAAAGATTATTTTATGAGAAAACAAATGATAACACACTTTTTACCAATAATTTAGGTATTGTTACAATATGTGAACTCCCTTTCTTAACTGTGTAGTTACTTAAAGTATCGATAGATGGCGTCTTTAAAATTCCAGTCTATATCATTTTCTATATTTTATAGAAAATGATATAGACTGGAATTTATACTTATTAATTGTCAATTGATAAGTAAGCTAATATAATTTTTTGCTTTAATATTGATTATTAATACAGTCAAACCCCGCTATAGTGAACACGGTTTATAGTGAACTCCCGGATATAATGAACGAAATGTTCGGTCCCGTGCCTTGCTATACACGTATAATGTCATTTTTTGTGGATATAGGGAAACAAAGATGTGAGGAAGTTGGATATAATGAACTTTTTTCTGCCTTCAACTGATTTTTTTCTTCATTTTTTTTTGTAATAAGTTTGAAATTTCTACTTCAAAATAAATGCATATACCAGTGTTTAAAACTATCTATAGAGGGGAATGTAGCGATAAGCATTTTTTCTTGTTTGCTTCTTTTATTTCACTTTCCGATCCCTAAACAAACCAAGCAGATGTTTCCAACTTTNTTTGTAATAAGTTTGAAATTTCTACTTCAAAATAAATACATATACCAGTGTTTAAAACCATCTATAGAGGGGAATGTAGCGATAAGCATTTTTTCTTGTTTGCTTCTTTTATTTCACTTTCCAATCCCTTAACAAACCAAGCAGATGTTTCCAACCCAGGCAGATGATGCACCCATAAGGTGTCAGTGGGATCAATATGCATTTTCTGTCAGAGGGAATGAGTAATTATTCATAATTGGTCAAAGGGTTGGACACTAATATGTGTTGATAAGGTAATCATTTCAACTCCTCTTTGCTCTCATTTCAGAAAAAGAAACTGCAAACAAGTGTCTCAAATTTAACTATGGCGATCAGTAAACGTAAAACATTCTCCATTGATGATAAAATGGACAAAATCAGAAAAATTGAAAATGGATGCAATCAAGTTGATATTTGCAGAGAATATTAACAATCCAAATCTGTAGTTTGTAACAAATGGAAAAATAGGCAATTAATTATTTCTGCTCATGAAAAAAATTTCGATGGCAGAAGCGGACCACAAGGATGTTGAAGAATCATTACTGAAGTGGTTCACCATTCGAAGAAGCCGCAATCTTCCAGTATCTGGACAAATGTCCATGAATTTGCTAAACGATTTTATGAGGCAACTTTTATGTGCTCGAATAGCAGATTAGACTGGTTTAAATAGTCGAATAACAGAAATTCAGGAAAAATTATCTGAGAGTCAGGAAGTGTTTTCATATCTGATTTTGAAGATTGCTCATCACCTAAGAAATGCTATTTTTTTTTGCACGCAAGACGAAGAGTAATGAAAATATCACATCTTTTACTACTACATAATATTTTTAAGTCATTTATTTGAATGATGTGTAATAAAAGGGAGGAGTTTGGGAATCATTAGTTAAATTGCATGTGTAACGGACATAGTGAACCCCCGGTTATAGTGAACCAAAATGTCGGTCCCTTGAAGGTTCACTATATAGCGGGGTTTGACTGTATGACTAAAAAGAACAGTTAATAAGAAACAACTCACAATTCAATTTTACTTATATGATCTAGTTATTTGAATTTAATTAATTTATTGAATAGCAATTGAAAATTGTATCGTTAATGAGTTAATTGAATTTATTGAATGCTTGTTTAATGATCAAAAGTAAACTAGTTTAACAATAATTTCATAATTTCTTTTATATTTTATGAAGCCTATTTTAAAAGGAGTGTTTTAATTTTTTGCGTTTACTAAAGCAAACTTAGGGAAGTTTTTATTCTTTTGAAAGTAATTATTCATTTGCTTATTAATTTGATACATATGCTTTCAAAAAGCTTATAAAATTAATTAATTTATACTGAATTTTAGGCAAAACTATTCTATTCTAATAATTAGAGTGCAGCTAAAAATACGAATATATTATATATATATTTCTTATTTCCAATGGTCCATTAAGAGACAACTGAACATCAAAAAGATAACAATGAATCTATAAATAATAGCGAGCTGTCCAGTAGCGTTCCCAGACAGATTTCCGAGGGAGAACAAAACACCTAAACAGGTGAGACAAGTCCATTACCTCGTGGAGGTCACACAATGTGCAAAAGGGATCATGAACCACGTTGATGCGACATAGATGTTTTTTCAGGCAATCGTGGCCAGTTATCAGACGAAACATGGCAGCAGATTTGATTCTAGGCCACTGAGGGACATTGAGAATCTGTTTAAGCCATGGTTTATTGGAATTACGCTTTTTTAGTTCCTCGTGAAAAAGAAGCCCTGAAGGTGTTCTTTATGAGACTTTTGATATTATAGAAAGGGAGTCTGGAATTAGATCTCTGTTGGACAGAGGCTCCCCTTTTTTGCCAGGAAATCGGCCGCCTCGCTTCTCTGGAATCGACAGTGGGCCGGAATCCACTGGAGAGCCACTATCTTGTTATTACTGGCAAACCATTTGAGGAGATTTGAGCAATTATCGATGGTTTAAGTTCGAGAGTGGATGGGAGCATTAATTGCTTGAAGTGCAGCCATTGAGTCAGATTATATTACAACTTTTGAGAAGGAGTCTAAACGCGGCCGAAATTGTGACAGGGCCTGGTAAATGGCAAAATCTCGCCATCGAAAGCTGTCTATAAATGCCGATGGTAGCATACAAGCAGAAAAATTCACAGTAAACACCAGCGTTAACACAATCACTCATTTTAAAACCATCAGTATATATTCAAAACTATTCTTCCTCGGGATAGAAAGGTTTCCATTGCTTCGAAAATGAGAGTTCTTAAAACTATAACACTAGTCTCCGCCTTTGAGACATCCTTGATCAGAGCAAGGCGGATAGAAAATCCCCTGTTAACAACGGGGTTGATGGGAGGTAAGAAACGCTCAATCTCAAAATTCAAATCTAACTTAGATATAATATCAGTAAATCCCTGCAGAAATCTCTTTTGTGTTTTCAAATTTCTCTCACTTTCTGGAGAATGCTGGTTCCACTAGGACAGACACCCGGGAATTCTCTCCCAGAGGAGGAGGGCTCTTTTCTGAAAAATCAACTTGAATGGTCTGTTGTCCGTGCAGAGTAACATACAGTCAATGGGAGTAGTCTTCATATATATATATATATATATATATATACATACATATATTTCGGTGAAACACCGAAATCTGGAGTATGTAGACATTCACGTAGTCGTTTGGTGGATGTCCAAAATATTTGTTATATCCAATTTTATAATAAATTATTCGTTAATATTATTATATTTATTTGATATATTTATATTTATTCTATATCTTAATACTTACTGACGATAGATTAGAAGAAACATCAGTGTTTGGAGTATCGGGCAAATATATACCGGGCAATGGCACTTGACCTTAGAAAAACATCAGTGCAAGGAATACCGGACAAATGTATACCGGGAAGTGGCACTTAACCTTAGAATAACATCAGTGTAGGGTATACCGGGCAAATGTATACCGGACAGGGGCACTTAACCTTAAAAAAACGTCAGTGTAGGGTATACCGGGCTGTGGCATTAACCTTAAAAAAACATCAGTGTAGGTTATACCAGGCAGTGGCACTTAACCATAAAAAAACATCAGTGTAGGGTTAAAATATCGAATAAATGTAATTATATCCACGAATAAATTCATATCAAATCGAATGTAATAAGTATTTCAGACATTCACCAAAGAATATCTGTGATTGCCGACATACACCGGTGAGGGTCCGAATGTACAAGAATGTAATGAAATATTCGATCTTTCACCGACGTATTTGGTGTTTGTCGACATTCACCGGTGAAAGTCAACAACCACCGATTTCGGTCTTTATCTCTTTTAACTCTTTTTTAATACACAGTCTTATTGAAAATGTAATGCTGATTGTAAAAAGTTTATTTTTATGTTTAATACAGAAAAAAAATCTTTTAGGGATTCAAATAAAAGATGTACACTAAAATCCCTTCTTGTTAAAAGCATACTTTATTTTTGCTGGAAAAAACTACTGCGTCTTTGCATAAGATCATTCATAACATTATAAATCATGCAGTTAGAAAAATTAACTTTCCCAGTTTATTTGCACTTCTTGGAATCTTAAATGTAAAAAATAAAACCTTTTCAATAATTAAGTCAATTTTCAGGTAATGTCGTGACTCTTTGGGTTGCACCAAACTTACGAAATGGGCAAAAAAACCTTTTTCTTCTCCAAACTAATTGGTTAAAATTACCGCTAGCCGTCATAAAAAGAAATAGAGTAAGCATTCCCTGGAGGTTTAAGGTTATGATTGCTTTTTGAGTATGTTCATCAACTATTGAATCTGATAATTTGTTTTTGTCTTTCACAGGGTACACCGGAACCCTAACGAAGAATACGCATAGGGGAAGAACTCTAGATTTCATTGACATAATGTAAACTAGTTCCCCAATGTTAGGTTTGGTCCCTGAGTATAAAGAAGAAAGTGACTTTTAGGGGCACAACAGCAGGGGATCTTCAAATGGGTTTGAACCCTCCTCTCCTCCCAACCAATACTGGGAATGGTAAAGTGTTGTGGTGAAAGGGAAGAGTTTTTTTAATAGTTGGTTTGTTCTGTATTTTTACACTTTTGATAAACAGTACTGTACTATTGATCAAGAGTTTTCTTTGAAAATACATTAATGTCACCTATGTTGATCAACCAACTGGCTGATCAGAAAATAGGTAAAAATTGGGAGAATGTTTCCCCACGATACATAATTTCCTTTCCTAATAACATGGAAAACCGGTTTTGCTATGCGGAGAAGACTGCAGGTTGAAATACAACTTTTTACGTGCAGAACCGTCAGTGGGTTAAATCTGCTCTCATATTTTAACACGAGCGATTAATTCTCACTTGGGCCGGATCACGCTATTGGTTGAAAATGACATCACTGTTTGGGGAAGGGACATGCTGTGTATTTTGGCGACAGATCTTGATTTGGCAACAGATTTTATATTTAGCTTTCAAATGCGATCTATTTACACGTGGTATTAATGTTGAGTAATAAAGACAGTATTCACATGTTGCACAGTTTTATGGTAATTTTTTATTAGAATCTAAGTAAGTGAAATTAAACTATACTGCTTTTACGTCATTGGCAACTGGGGCTGTTCTAGAAATGCAGGGGGGGGGGTTAGCCCAGAATTTTAGTCATTACTTTAAACTAAATTTAAGTGTTGCTTAATTATGAAGTTTTTAAAATTATTCATAACGCAACTAAATTACGATGTATGAGTAAATTTGAGCTTATGTGTATTTCAATTTTTGTTACTTCTTAACTGCAAAAGATAATTCTTAAGGAAAAACAAATAAACGAAAAAAAAAACGTATTTGTAATATTACTATACAATCTTATATTCGTAAAAACATTCATTATTTTTATTTTTATTGCTCTTAGCTTTGATGAATTTAAATCGATTAAAACATAAATATTGTCTGTCATGCTGAAGTGGACATTTACCTATCTTTCCCATCCTAACGACGACATAATATTACGTANTTTTTACACTTTTGATAAACAGTACTGTACTATTGATCAAGAGTTTTCTTTGAATATACATTAATGTCACCTATGTTGATCAACCAACTGGCTGATCAGAAAATAGGTAAAAATTGGGAGAATGTTTCCCCACGATACATAATTTCCTTTCCTAATAACATGGAAAACCGGTTTTGCGATGCGGAGAAGACTGCAGGTTGAAATACAACTTTTTACGTGCAGAACCGTCAGTGGGTTAAATCTGCTCTCATATTTTAACACAGAAGGAAAGAATAAATGGCGGTTGGAGAGATGCAGCGTACCCAGCCATGCAAGTAGAGCTGTCCAACAACCGGTACACAGGTGACGTACCTCCTGCCATTTTGCTTCTTATGCGCATGCACTGCATCTAAGTACAAATGATGCTCTGCTAAATCTGAGAATGTTGATCACTCTGTAAGTTGTTTTTCTGGTATAGCATATTGAACCGAGCAGTTTCTCGCCTTAGATAAGGGTTTTTCCATGTTAAAGGGTTAAGGCACATCATTTCCTTGATTAATACTTTCCGATTTGTCTCAATAAATTTCAGGAATTTTGATTCTATTAGTTGCAGTATTTTTTTCCAGCTAATTACTCGCTTAACTGTATTTTGAAAATTCCTAATTTGAAAAAAGATCAGAGATTTAAATAGTTATGGATAAAGTTAATAATGACAGGTTCAATCAAATATTAGTCACCGGCATTTAATTTGAATATTTATTGCTAGTATTAGCAAGTGTCATTAAAAAAATGCCGACTTACGTGTTTTAAAACTGTGCGCAAAGTGTCTCGTTTGACATCGAGAACAATTTTTGATTCTCCTGCTGATTTGATCTTCCAAAAGATATCTCTGTAGGCTTGTGTTGGGCGAAATTGATATAGCTGGACTCGCCAATCATTCACCTGTGCTTCTTTTAAAAAATCTTGAAGGCGAATCACACCTTTGAAAATAAACAAATGTCTCAGAAAATTTCAATTTTAATACACTAAATAAACACACAAGGTGTTTTGTAACAAATTATCAAAATTAAATAGCAAAACAAATAGAAAATCATTTAGGAATAAGGAGTCGCAAACTTTTTTCAAAGTCGCTAGAAAGTCAATTCCATATATCGATTTTCCGCTTTTCGTCGGACTAGTTTAAAAAAACGCACGTAGCTGTGGAACAATGTAAAATCAGGGTGAAAAAACTGAGCATATTTTTCAAAAATTTACACTTACGAGATGAACAGCTAGAAAAAAAAATTGTAATCTTTACATAGTTTTTGTCTTTAGATGCAATTTTAACAATATCCTTCTCAGTATTTACTATTGTTTGCATATTTGCTTTACGGTTTACATTTGCAAATGTTTCTATGTTTTCAGACAATTGATTAGATTTGGGTATATTTTCTGATACTTTTTACTCGTTTTCATCATTATCATTAGGAGCAGGTATTAAATCAGATATTGAGATAATTGAAAAATAATGGGATGCGTGAGGCAGTCGATATATAAGTAAAAAATTATATGAAAGAAGTTTCTAATTTTTTTGAAACACATCATGATATAAATTAATATTTTATTGTTTCCATCATAAAGTAAATAAATTTTTTAAAAATAAGACGAGGTTTATGAAGAATAAATAAATTATAACTGCATTCTAGCAATAAAAGTGTAACCTTTATTTGAATTTGCATGTAACTCGATAAAAAATCATATGAATGAGGTAATTAATACTTTGCAATACATCATTATATAAATTAATATTTTATTGTTTTCATCATAAAATAAAAAAAAATGGAATTTTTAAGTAAGACGAGTTTCATGAAGAATAAATAAATTATAACTGCATTCTAGTAATAAAAGTGTAACCTTTATTTGAATTTGTATGTAACTCAATAAAAATAATATGAATGAGGTAATTAATATTTTGCAATACATCATTATATAAGTTAATATTTTATTGCTTCCATCATAATGTAAATAAAAAATTTAATTTTTAAATAAGCCGAGGTCTATAAAGAATAAATAAATTATAACTGCATTCTAGTAATAAAAGTGTAACCTTTATTTGAATTTATATGTAACTGGATAAAAAATCATATGAATGACGTAATTAATATTTTGTAATACATCATTATATAAGTTAATATTTTATTGTTTCCATCATAAAATAAGTAAAAAATTTAATTTTTAAATAAGACGAGATTTGTAACGAATAAATCAATTATAACTGCATTCTAGTAATAAAAGTGTAACTTCAAAAAAGATTCAAGAAATCTTAGTTTTCCTACATAATGGGTTCTGCAGAGGAGAAACATTTTTACAGGGTTTGAAGTTTTAGAGGTATCCAAATATCAAAACGATATATATTTATTTTTTTGATGTTGTGCTAGAAAGAATTATTTTAATTATTATAAATTATTTTATTAATTATTATTTTAATTATAATTATTGTAATAAATAAAATAATTAGAAAACTCAAATATGTACTTTTTATCTGCATAAGCATATTTTTAATACAATTTTAAGTAACATTTGTTCCAAACTTTATTCATGATCAAATTTTTCTAAAAAAAATTAAAATAATTTTTTCTTTAAACGAAGTGTAGATTAAAAGATTTTTTTATTTAAGTGGAATTGAAAATACTCTCCAATTTTCCCATATTCCTTGAACCTTTATTTTCAAAATTTATTTATGAAATCGAAAAGAAAATTCCTTATTTTAGAATAGGAATAAGTGCTTAGTTAAGTTAAGAAATGCTGAAGTGCATATACTTTTTCTATGCAATTTAAATTATTTTCATAAAGTTGCTTTTTTAAAAATATTTTTTTAGTTGATGAGTTACTGTGCAAACTCAAGGTCAAATGTCATGTCTGTTACCATAATTCCTTTTATTTTTTACTAATTTCAGGCAAATATACTTCATATTACTTTAAAATTATTAAGAGTATGAAAATTAAATTAAATAAAGAACCTTGTTAATAACTTCCTGTCTGTTAAAATATGGGGTAACAGACAAGACTTTTTAAAGCAAAAAATTCCGGTGACCAAATATTTTTAAAAATGCATGAAAATTTCATTCTCAATAAGTTAAATAAACCAATTAGAAAAATAAAGCAATCTTCACTGCTAAATAAGCATTGCCATACAAGTATTCCAATTGCGTTGACATCAATTTACGTAAAGTGGTATTTAAGTATGTATGTCTTATATTTTCATTTATAGCCTCTTACAATGTAACTAAGATTATTTCTCATAATTGTAAGTATGACAGAGAAGAGCTAATTATTTCTGGAAAAAATTGTGTGGAAATCCTTTTATTGTTATTGTATATTAACGGATTTATTGTATGTTAGCAGATTTTATTGTATGTCAACGGATATCTAAATTTGCAGTTTCTCTTTTAACTAATTGATTTGAAATACTATTTTTCGAAAATAGTATTTCAAAGTTTTCCTGCAATTAAAGATGTCTATTATTGCTAAATATTTTTTACTACTGTTATGGCTATATAATGTCTCTAAAACAAAATTTTTCGGCGGGCATCTAATGACACTGAACTAATAAATGCATAATTGCCAACTTCTTCCGCTACTGGTGGCAGCTTTTTCTCTGATATATAAAGCGGTAGGAAAAATCATATTTTAAGAACTGTTTTTTGATTTAATAAATTTGATTTTCAATGATATTGATCCCCATTATATTTAAACAGAAATTAGGCCTGTTAAGCTTTCTGTGAAGTTAGTGAAGTCTAAGTTTAGTTGTTGACGCATTTTAACAACCTAACTCTAATATATTAATTGCTATTTCATCACCACTCTAAGTATAGTGGTGATTTAGGACTTCTGGATATGTAAAACATCATTTATGCGTAGCGCATACACAAATGTTCCTAGCATCAGAACTCATCTTATAAAACTATATTGTTCCCTTAATATAAGAATCAAAATAAAATAAAGATGGTTATTATTTAATTAATCAATAACTTCATTATGAAAATCAAACTTCATTTCAACACAAAAAGTTTGATAATCCCTAGTTTACTGGTATGACAGGTTTAATGCAGGGCTAAAGAAAAGATAGAGATTTCATTTATTCACTCTTTAGCCCTGGGTTTAATACTCGAGAAATAATTTTACCCGATTTCAGCCCATCTTTAGTTGACCGAAAAACTCTCATTCTGCTGCAGAGAAAGTAATTTTTAATTATTATACTATTTTAGATTAACCATCAAGTATTTCGAAGTTAAACCGTTCCTAGAATTTGAATGTATGAAATGAAATCAAGCGAGAAATTGATATCAATGAGGTTTGAATTGATTTAAATGCTATAAACCTCATTCCGTTAAAGTAATTTCCTTCCTTCAAAAGAAGTACGATTTCGTAGAAAATGCTAGAAAGTGCATCCCCCTTGAATTTCAGGTTCTAGATATGAAGAAGACGCATTTTTACAGGATTGAGACCATTTAAAAAATTACGTGTAATGCCACAATAACATTTTATTCATTTTAATCATTCTTAATCAAATTTTAATTAAATTCAACCAATTATTTAATTTTTATTACATTTTATAAAAATCTAATATAAATATTTTATTCTTATCTTAACAATCAATGTAACGGCTGACTATTTTTTCAATTCAAATGTAAAACTCATTAATTCACTGACGCGACGAAATCGAAATCTATTAATAACTCTTTATTTTTTATTTCTGACAACAAAAATGCTTCAGATAAATGGTTATATTAATTCTCACAGTCTTTCTGGTGGATCACTTTTGCCAAATTATTTTCAAATTTAATATTGAATAAGGGGGTTGACTTTATATTTGGCTATATTATCTTTCGTTAAATCGCCAACCATTAATCTCTTCCCATGCTCCTAACTGTCCGTTGGGAACAATTCACTTATTACCTTTAATTTTTAGAAATTAATAAAATGTTTTCATGGAAATCATCTTCAAACATTACTTTCAAGCATAAGAAAAACGCAATTCATTGAGTTGTTATAATTCACAGAACTTTTTGTACAGAAAGAGGAAAATGCATGTCTTTTTCAAGTCATTATCGCAACGTGTGGAAAATATTTGCTAAGATTGCAGATTTGTATTAATATATAATTAATATTATATAATATTTTATTAATGTCGTAAGTGGTCGTCGTTGAAACCAATAAAAATTTAAACCAATGCTTTAAAATATTTTAACTAATGGTCAATTTAGTTTGTGTAAATATCACACCCGCAACTTTGGATTGGACATATAATAAATTCATTTCTAAAGGCTTTGACCAGCATCATATCTAAAGAATTTAAATAAATATGAAAGAATTGATAATTGTTCTTTGAAGCATTTAGCAGCCGATCTCAAGTCAGCACGAGACGAAATTCCTCTTAAAAACTTGAGTTGATAGAGAAGATCAAGTGGTAGTAAAATGATGAATTCAACTATTTATTATCATCCAACCATTATATTATCCAACTATTTTATAATCCAATTATATATTATCATCCAACTATTATATAATCCAATTATATATTATCATCCAGCTGTTATATAATCAAATTATATATTATCATCCAACTATTTTGGCAGAAAATATGAATTTATCTTCTAATCATAACACATTGCTTTAGAAAATAAAATAATGTGAATTTTAATTAAAATGGTTGCTTAAATAAGAAAAAAGAAAATTTAAAAAGAAAATTTAACTTTGGTTTTATCTTTATCAATTACCACTTTCAATGATAGATAATTACATAAAAAAACTTTGATTTTTAATATTTCTATCATTTTACTATTTGAATTTTAAATATTAAAGGAATATAAAAAGAAATGGGTAACTTTGTAAATTTTGTATCAGTGTAACGACAGTTTTCAGGAGAAAAAAAATTGTGGTAGAGATAATGAAAAAAACTTTCATCATTTAATACATTTGTCATCACTATGTTTAATTT